GGTGTAGTTTAAAGCAATAAACACTGAGAAGGTTCAAAATTACTTGACTGATCTGATCAAGCAAAATTTAGATACATTTTTCAGGACAGACAAATTAGCATTAGAAGAGGGTTGTGGCTAAGGGATATAGCAAAAACCGGAAGCTAACAATAAATATAATTTTATACCTATTAGATTGTGTTTTAATGTCTACACCTACCCCAACCCTAAACCTACCCCTTACAATAATGCAAAAAGAGTCATTATTGTTGTACAGTGTGAGAAAAATTACGCTATATTGATGTGCGCATGCCCAGTAGTTTTTGCTGTATACCACCTTAAACGTAGAAGAGCCAGGTTAATGATGCAGTCTTGTTTAAAGGGTTAGTTCACCCAAAAATGAAAATTCTGTCATTAATTACTCACCCTCATGTCGTTTCAAACCCGTAAAACCTTCGTTCATCTTCAGAACACAAATTAAGATATTTTTGATGGAATCTGAACTAAGAATATCCGCTGGACGTAAAACACAGAACAGCATACGTTGTTTACGTCCAGCGGATATTCTCCAAAATGGCGCTATAGGGTGATGCGGAGGAGACGAATTGTTGAATAAAGTCGTTATTTTTTTTCTTTTGTGCACAAAAAGTATTCTCGTAGCTTCGTATAATTGCAGATGAACAACTGATGTCACATGGATTATTTTACAGATCTCCTTGCTACGTTTCTGGACTTGGGAACATTTCAGTTGCATTGCTGTCTATGCAGGGTGAGACAGCTCTCAGATTCCATCAAAAATATCTTAATTTGTGTTCCGAAGATGAACGAAGGTCTTACGGGTTTGAAATGACATGAGGGTGAGTAATTAATGACAGAATTTTATTTTTTTGGGTGAACTAACCCTTTAAAGTTATGATTTCCAGCCCATGCTGAGTCTGACTCAAAATTTTAAAACTTATTTGGATGATTTTAGCAAGACTTGTTTATATGTAATATGTGCATCTTGATTTAATCTGTATTTTATTCCTCTTCAGTCACTGGATCTTCCCCAATTCTTTTAACACATCTTTGTACAATAAATAAAAAACAAGAACATATCATCTCTGATATTCTCTGATCTCAATCAAGACCATTTGTTAAATGTTATAAATCCAATTTTGAATATACAAAAAAGAAATGCATACTTTTAAACATGGGACTAAACCGCCAGTAGATGGTGCTGAATCATTTAGTAACAATGTTTGGACAATGTGCAAATACTTGTTCTGATCTTTGTTTGGAACTATTTTCGTTGGTGAAATAGAACAAAACAGTCAATACTGTGTCTAAAATGTAAGTAACTTAAAGGAGACATATTATGCCCCTTTTTACAATATGTAATATAAGTCTCTGGTGTCCCCAGAACGTGTCTGTGAAGTTTCAGCTCAAAATAACCCACAGCTCATTAATTATATCATTTTGAAAATGCCTATTTTGAGTGGAAGCAGAAACAGGCTATTTTTCGGGCCTGTCTCTTTAAATGCAAATAAGCTGCTGCTCCCCCCACCTTTTCCAGAATGCGCCATTACAGCTTGTACCTGCTAAAAAAAACATCTGTTTTGGTTCTGATTATCATGTTTATCGAGCTGAAATCATGTGTGTTAAACCATATTAGTTTAAACTTCTGATATAGCTACAGTTTTCTGAGAGCACACATCCGAAGCACACGGACAGAAAGCGGCTGTCACAGCATGTGATTACTAAACTAAGTTCTCATTCACACACAAGTTTACATAAAAAACACATGAGTTACAAAAACAGTCGGTTATGTCTGTGAATGTAAACAGCTGGGAAATAAATTGCATGTTTATTTTAGATCTGTGTGGCAGCAGCAATATACAGTAAATGAATCAATAAATCCACTGCTCTCTTGTCTCCTCTGAGGCTGGGACTCTAAACAGTGTTCTGTGCTCGTCTGTGCAGCCAAAGACAGAACAGTTAACATGTTTTGCTCAAACTTTCACCATGGCATTAGAGTTGTTGCTTGTGAAATCAAAATGATGAGGCCATGGGTGGAAACGTACAGATTAAGGGGCGGTGATATTATAATGAGATCCCTTTGCCACGTCACCAAGGGAGAGAAATCAGACTCCCTTGTTTTTTCAGACTCTTGCAGAAAAAGGCTTACCAAAACAAAGTGATTGGGTTAAACTTTTTCACGTTTCCTTGGTTGGTAGATGCACTGGGGACCTGATCATAGCACTTAAAACCTGGAAAAGTCAGATTTTCATGATATGTCACCTTTAATATAGTACTTGTTTGTTGAACTAAAATCAATGTAACATTTCCATACTGGAGACATTTTTGCAGTAATATGGCCAACAATATTTAAGACCCACTGAATTTGAATTAAAGACATTTTAAGTCTTTTAAGGCCTTTTTTTAAAGGAAAACTTTTTAAAGAGGTCATGGGTTTTCGAAAAATATATTTTTTGCAGTTTGTAAAGTAGCTATCCTTCAATGTAAACAGTCTGCAAAGTTGTTAAGTGTTCACAGTTTAGCAGCTAAACTTTAGCTGTGGGCACAATTTGCTTGCATAAGTGTTTTTGTATTTTATGTCATTATTATAAGAACGGATTGGAGCCAGACTGTATAAAAACATGGACGTAGTGTCCGTGACGTCACCCGTAGATTTTTGAATCTCAAAAGTGGGCGGAGCCGGCCGTCGCCATCTTGGCAGTGCGTCACCGCGCGTCACTCCCGGATAATCGAAGCAGTGGCAATCCACCTGTCACTCAAGTGGCCACGCCCTTAATTATGCAGAACTTTAAGGCTTAGTATAATTTAAAGGGATGAGTTATAAAAAAATTCACCCCCCTCACAGTTGTCATGAAGGGCAAAATTAGCTATATAAACCAAAATCATTTTTTGAACCAGGCTGTAAACATATTTTTTTCTGCTGTAAAGTTGGGCATTTTAACATGGGGAGTCTATGGGATTGACTCCCTTTTGCAGCCAGCCTCTAGCGGCCAGTTGATGAATTACAGTTTAAGTCACTTCCTTGTTGGCTTCACGAGAGAGAGCGGGAGGTTGCCGCTTGATTGGAGCACTATATTATTGTTTTATGTAAAGGTGCTTTGCCAATGGTAGCGCTCGCTAACTTGCTCAAGGACTCCTCTTTGTGCCAATCACAGCAGGCTTGGCCAGCTGACCAATCAGAGCAGAGTAGGCTTATGGAAGGGAGGGGTTTGCTCCAAACTTGCTTCGAACGAATCGTTTCGAAATCATTGGCAAATGACTCTAATATTAAATGTATATTCTGAGAAAATTACAATGTTTTCTGACCTTAGATACATTTAAACCTGTTGTAGGGCACTTCAACACAATATTAGGACATTTTAAAATACCATATGACCAACTCTTTAAGCTCAGAACTGCTTCGAACGAATCGTTTCGAAATCATTGAAAAATGATTCTAATATTAAATGTATATTCTGAGAAAATTACAATGTTTTCTGACCTTAGTTGCATTTAAACCTTTAAACACAATATTAGGACACTTTAAAATACCTTATGACCTGCTCTTTAAGTCTTTTTAAGGACCCGCGGCCACCCAGAAGTTAACTCACTCCTAGTAACTTGTTGCCACCTACTGGCATAAGGATGTAACCTGCAGAAAGACATATTTAAGCTCAATTGTAGCAAATCAAATAATCGAAAACAACCCTTTTTAGTTGAATTTGTTTAAAAAAAATCACAAAAAAACAAAACAAAAAAACGTTCAAGAAAAAGACGTGCATTATCCATTGACAAAGCCATCAATGCATTTCAAAAAAGGACCAGAAACTAATGCTAATTGGCTAACCAGGAAATAACTGGATGTGAATGTCACAGCACATTCTTTATTCATATTTAAGCATACAAAGAAACTCAGCCATATGTTTAGAGCACCAGCACACAGCGCTCTCTCTCTCTCTCATAAACATTCACACACTACCTCCTCATAATACTTGTCTATGAAGCTGGTAATTTGTACCCAAAAATAATGCTGCTACTTTTTAATACAAATTAAAAGTTTCCTAACCATCTACTGTACAAAAAGAAAAAAAATATTGTTCTAGGATCAGTTATCCAATCACTCCTTCAGTCTATGATTTATAAAAAGAAACAAAACCTACTTCCATTCAGTAATACTGTTTAGTGAGAACATAACTACAGATTTTACATCTCTCCCAGCCACTGACTCATTAATAGCAGTGAAACAGGAATGCACACACAGAAAGCTTCAGTATGAGATCACTAATGGCTGCAATGACCATTTAGATTGCCATAGTTCCATAGCAGACCGAGTTATATAGCGTATGGGAATCTAATTGTATAAACTTCCTAAATGGCACACCGAAGATAATGGACAATCCCTTAGTCAAGTGCTGATCAACTGAAAACAACAGGCTTTCTAAACAAAATTTGACACTCGGTTGACTTTTTAGGGAAAAATAAGGGAAGCCCTGAAGGAAGATCCAGCTGTCAGAGGCAACAAAAATTTTTTTTTTTTTTTTTATAAAGGCAACTTGTTCACATCTTTGACTCTGATAGTTAAAAGCACTACAGGTATATCATTGATTACTGTCTCTTAATGTCATTATCAGTCATACTTTGATAACTATTGTTTAACATAACTGACAAACATAAAAGGACACAAACATACTGACTTAAATGCTACACATTACAGTGACTGCTTCAAATCAGAGATGCGAGGCACACATGCCCATTCAAACACAGCCAAGATATTATATATGTAGCACATTCAAAATCCAGAATTGAGACGTATGTTTATCACCTCCAAAGTAATAAATTCTGTCATTTAAAGATTATACATAATCATCTTTGTGCTATTTTTTCCTTTACGATCACTCTCATTCATTTTAGAACAGTTTGAAAGTAGGACAAATTAAAGTGAAAACTAGTCAGCTCCAATCTAGTCATCATTGAAAACAATATTATTTAAAAAATCCAGGCTTTTGCATTTAAACAAAAATACGACAGTAAATAGTTTGCTTTTAATAAGGCATCACTTGTTTTCCCCTTCAGATGTTATTCAGTCCCGTTTTTCCTTCTTTTTTTTTTTTTGATTCATCTCTAGGTCAGCCATAAAATCTTTTCATGCCCATCAGTTTCAGTTTCTCAGGCTGGTGACAGAAGTATAAAGCTCTAGTCCTGCTGCATCTCTCTCTCTCCATCCCTCATTCAATCCTTCAGGCTGTTGATAGAAGCACAGATTTTGAGGGCAGGACCGAGTTTGATGTTCATGGTGGACATAAGATGCTCTTCCTTAAGTAGCATCAGTGCCTGCCCATCGATCTCCTGTGACAGGAACTGGGATGCCAGGTCCTCACAACCTGACAAGAGATGGAGGAGCACATGATATAATAAATATACAGGTGAGCACAACACATAGGTACATCCAGAGGAGCATCAGAACACTAACCTTGAAGAGAAGAAATGAACTGACACACTTCCTCCACACTCCAGTGAGCAGGGTTGCCAGATAGGAAGTGGTTCTCATCCACTGGGAGGCCACATGGTGCTGTGTCATCCAACTGAGGGCCATAGTGGGTTGGTCTTGGGCATGAGAAGGATGAGCTGGGAGAGAGTGACAGGAAGTCTTCCTCTTCCTCACCCTCACAGCTGGAGATGTCCTCAGAACGACTAGATTCTGAACGACACTGCGAAAGAGGAAAAAAAAATCATAGATTAAAGTATATTCATTAAAACAAGAAAAACATAATTATTTAAAATGTTTTAAAACTGTGGATATTAGAAGTATGATTTTCAGTTCCCTTTGGGTGACTTCGTATATCTACACTGTTGTTCAAACGTTTTTGAATGGCTCTTATGCTTACCAGCTCTACATTTACTTGATTAAAAATAAATTTAAAACAGTAATATTGTGAAATATTATTACAATTTAAAATAATAATTTTCTATTTTAATATATTTTAAAATGTAATTTATTCTTGTGATGGAAAGGCTGAATTTTCAGCAGCCATTACTCCAGTCTTCAGTGTCACATGATTCTTCAGAAATCATTCTAATATGCTGATTTGGTGCTCACTAAACATTATTATTATTACAAATGTTGAAAACAGTTGTGCTGTTTAATATGTTTGTGGAAAGGCTGATACATTTATTTCAGGATCCTTTGAGGAATACAAAGTTCACAAGTACAGCATTTAATTGAAATATAATTTTTTGTAACATTATAAATGTCTTTACTGTCACTTTTTATAAATTGAATGCATCCTTGCTAAATAAAAGTATTAAAAGTATTTACATAAAAACTTGCTGACCCTAAACTTTTGAATGGTAGTGTACATAAGATTTTAATTTGATTATCTTATAATCAGGTTGCTGCAATGTCCATTATCTCACCTTTACAGGAAGATGCCTGCCTGTTATTTTAGCACAGGCGATCTCAGAGCTGCTTCTGCGAGGGCCTCTGCGTCTAGCAATAACATCCTGCACAGCAGGGGCCCCTGGTGGCCGTTCTACACCCTCAAGACCCCTACTAACACGGAAGTGATTACTGCAGCTGACATTGTACCTGTATGAAAAGGTTTGGATGTAAATACAACAATACACAGCACATACTCATTCAGGTAATTAATAATTAATTACATTTTTTTCTATATACATTTTTTATTAAAGAGACGTTTTAAGAATGAGATGATTTTGGTCTTACCTCTTGGCACAGCTTTTGGAACAGAAGCGCTTGGATCGTCTGAACTGGCTGGCCGGTGCAAATCTTAGACAGTATTCACACTTTAACTCTGTAAACGATATAAAGACACAATGTGCAAGAGATAGAGAGAATATATAAAATATGTCTGAACAACTTCATAGGAAATATTTTTCCACAAAACTTTGAAACACAAAAACTCACTATCAGAGCGGATGTTCTCTGGATGTAGGATGGGTGGAACAGCCACAGGAAGTTCTTTCAATGGCCCAGTCACCTGCCAATCAGAAAGAAAAGTTCATGTGTGTTTTATTCTTCTCAGACCTTTGGTCCACTAAATTACTATCGCTGGATTATCTTTCTTTTGTGGTCTAAAAAAAATTATGCCTTTTCATGAAAAACTAGATTTGTAATTAGCAGATAGACTCACAGGGAAAGGTTCGGCTCCCTCCTGGATAACAAAGCCTTCAATGAGGTGAGTGAGAACCTGAGGTTTGACCACAGCCTGTGGGACAGGTGCTCGATCACCTTGCCCTCCTCCACGAGGGAGAGGGAGAGGGAGAGAAAGAGAGAGAGTAGGAGGAGAGGAGAACGCCATCTCTGGGACTAAACAACAAATAGACAAGGAAAAAAAGATTGTTCATAAGAGCACAACATTAATATAAATGAGAAGATAAAATGGCGATTCAACAGTATTTCCTGCACTGCTTCATAAACATTAAATTATAAAAATACATGCTTATTACATTTTTATCATTTACATTAGTTATATTATTATATTTACATTAGATGCAAACTTGCAGCAGGATTTGGATGTGACAAGATTGTCAAAAAGACAAATCATCACGTCAGTCTCACAATTCGCGCATCACCATGTTATAATGTACAGTGTAAAAAGTAAATATTCATTTTGAGATTTAAAAAAAAAATTACATTTAACAGCATTAATAAATGATTAGTGAGTGAGTGTTGATTGCAGAGGTAATCTAAAGATAAAAATTGGGGCAAGTGAGCATCAACCAACAACAGGAAAAAAAGGATGATAACCAAAATGGAACCGATATATATTGTGCAACTCTAATCATTACTGGATGGTTCATTTGCAAATGTGTATGTAAAGCTACACATTTGTTTTAATAGTAGATTATGTTTAAAAATAAATTTTAAAAAGTATGAATTAAACCTTTGAATCAAAATGTGACCAGCAACACTTCCATTTTTTAACCATCTAGGCTATATTTATTAATTATAGTAAAAAAAGTTTTTTTGTAAAATATAACTTACAATTTAAAGTAACTTCTCTGTTTTAATATATATTTTAAGTGTTATTTATTCCTATAATGACAATTTTTTTTATTATAAATGTTGGAAACAGTTGTGTTGCTTAATGTTTTTGTGGAAACCAAGGCACATTTTTTTCAGGATTCCTTCATGAGAAACAATGTCCAAAAGAACATAATTTGTCTGGAATATAAATCTTTTGTTATATTATAAATGTTTACTTTTACTTTTGATCAATTAACTATGGCCTCGCTCAATACAAGTATTTATTTCTTTAAAAAAAATCTTACTGGCCCAAAACTTTGAAAGGTAGTGTATTATTAAAAAACAAAAAAAAAACAAAAGCATTTTGCCTATGGCCCACCTGTATCTAGTGAGGGAGCTGGTGAGAGAGGAGGAGCAGAGTCTTGCATTGACGGACTTGCATTGACGGCCTCGGCTGACATCTCATGGGGTAAATCTGATTCAGATTTTCTTTTTAACGAAGCGATCCCAGGCTTCGTCTACAAGAGAAGGAGGATTGCATGAGTGTCACAGAATGGACAGACCATAGGGAAATAAAGTTCACCCATTATCTACTAACCTGAGCTGGTTCAGACTGAATGAAAACAGAATCTCCAGAGTTATTCTGTCCATCCATCGAGTGTGTGACCAAAGCGGGATTACCCTGACTCAACGCTGGGCTCTGATTGGTTTGCATCTGAGACATTGGGAGGGCACTTTGGGCTGTTTTAAGGCACATGCCGGCTCTGCCTGTTTCCACGGCAGTCACCATAGTAACAACATTGCTACCAGAGTTATTGACAGGCACGACAGCCGTGGTGTCCTGCTGGGCGCAACAGGTCCGAGCCTGGGCCACTGCTAAAGCCTGGGAGTTTCCTAGTGCGCCGTGCCTTGCTCCAACCAGCTGAACTGGGACATGGGGAGGGTGATGGCCTCCTGTGGCCTGGCCATTGTTGGGTGGTGCTGGGAGAATGGGAGGTGGGTGGCGAGGGGACATCTGCACTGGCAGTCGATGCCCCTGAGCAGTTTTAGGTTGAATGGGCACATGTCCCGTTCCATGACCCAGTTTTTCAGTGCTCAGATTTGCCCCCGTCTGCTGGAGTGGCTGCACAACTAACGTCTGGGCTGTCATGTTAGATTTGGTTGCCACAGTGCCCATCGGATAGCCTTGAGAAGAGGTAGGAACATTGGAGGTGGGCACCAGGATGTGGGTAACGGTGGCTGTAGCAGCTGGTACTCCTCGAGCTTGGCACAAGCCAGATTGAGAAAGGAGGAGTTGGGAGAGAGGGAGCGAGGGGGAAGGCGAGGAGGACGGAGGATTGGAGGAACCTCCTGCATGCTGTGGGGTGACAGCAGATTGGTTAGCGCCCTTCACGTTGAGGCCAGGCATGCTGGGATTGGTGGCGTTGGAGCAGTTTTGCAGTTTGGTGTTGGCAAGCGGTTGAGTCTGTGGTTGGATCTGCTGGGCTGACTGACCAAACTGCTGCTGAGTCTGAGTTTGCTGGTTAAGCGGGAATGAGCCTTAAACGTCAGGGAGAGATAGAGAAACTACAGTTAATTTTACAGTCAATGCATTTGGAAATGATTGCAGCAGACATATACATTTAAGAATTTGAAATGCAATACAAGGCGGGACAATAGGGAGTGATTGTGTACATGTATCATTATGCCTTGTAAACTTTAATATTTGGCTTTCTGTGACATTTGGTAATAAATGTGTTAATATTTAAACTCGTTAGATAAGGACAGTTATTTAGATGACTTAACAGGTCAAGTTGTTGAAATTGCAAGAATGGCTTTTGATTGTCTTGGTAATTAAGAATAAATTGAAAATTACAAGCCAATCTGAAATGTTTTGCCATGTATGCCATTGTTTTGTTTCTCAGCAAAAGTGTTGATGAATGTTGTTGTCTTGGAGTTTCCTCTATAATTATAATAAGTGCAAAACGTCCAGCAATTATTGCATATTTTCTTTGTAAATAAAACCTATCATCCGATTATTAAAAAAAAAAAGTATTAATGTTATTAAAAGCTTTGGGGTGGATGAGGGTTTTCAATGTTTTAGAAGTATCTTATGCTCACCAGAAATGCATTTATTTGATTAAAAATACAGTAAAAACAGTAATATTGTACATATTATTACAATTTTAATTTATGAATTCCAATGTTTAAAAGAACTATATTTATTTGAAATATGCAGAGGTGGACAAAGTACTCAACTCCATTACTTGAGTGAAAGTACAGATACTGCAGGTCAAATATTACTCCATTACAAGTAAAAGTTGTAAAGACAGATTTTTACTTAAGTAAAAGTACAGAAGTACTTGCTTTTAAAATTACTTATATTTGTCTTTCAAATGTAGTGAAGTTAAAGTCATAAGTTTCCAGAAAAAAATAATACTCAAGTAAAGTACAGATACTCAAAAAGCGTACTTAAGTACAATACTCAAGTAAATGTACTTAGTTACTGTCCGCCTCTGGAAATATGTAGAGATATGGATTTATTTACATCTTTACTGTCATTTCTTTAAAAAAACAGTTAATTTAAGTTTATTGCCATATCAGCTTCACAGGCTATTTCATGGCAAAGATTATACATTAAAAATATAGTAGAACACAAAATACAAATACAATAAACATAAATAAATCAATAAAAACAATTATAAAACAAAGTATCTGTCATTTCTTTAAAAAAACAGTTAATTTAAGTTTATTGCCATATCAGCTTCACAGGCTATTTCATGGCAAAGATTATACATTAAAAATATAGTAGAACACAAAATACAAATACAATAAACATAAATAAATCAATAAAAACAATTATAAAACAAAGTATCTGTCATTTCTTTAAAAAACAAACAAAAAAAAACCTCATGAATGGGAACATGTGAAAAAATATAAAAAGTTAATTATGTATTAATGTATTATTGTTTAAAAAAATTAAAATAAAATAAATTATTCATTAATTATACTATATAAAATGAAAAACATGTTAAATAACATATTTATTATAATAATAAAGATTAAAACTAAGAATAGAAATATAAACTAAACTAAATTATAAATATAAAATTTGAAAAAATTGTTTGCGTGTTGGAGCAGGGCAAGTACAAATCTGAACAACTGGCTTGACTGGCCAAGCAGAAAAAAAACTTATAGTTAAGCCCTGTAATATCTTCATTTTAATCCTCACCACTAGTCTCTTTCCTGTCTGCAAACTCTGTCTTAACAGTAGCCACCCTTGGAGTGGAAACGCAACGCATAGCCAAGTTCTGCACCTAAAAAAAAGAGAGACAGACAAAGGAAATTATGCAAGAGGCAAAATAATGAAACGTGTGAAAGGGAGAAGGGTACACCAGCAACATCACAATGAACAATTATCTTAACACTATGGTTTAACCAGATTTCCACCGACAAGTAATATTTCATTTTAAACTGACAGTGAAATGCTATTAAACAAACCATTCACAAACCATCACAACCATTAAGAATATATTTGATGTTTAATATACAGTTATATTCCGCAGGATTTTAGACAATAAGATTTGAGTGTGGACAAAGAAAGACACAAAAACGATAAAAACAGGTCTCAATGCATGGTGAAGTTGCTTAGGAAATAGGATTTATCACTTACTACATTGCCCCAGATTATGGCACAGTTTAAATGTCAAGAAAAAAAAAACAGAAGGCCAAATGTCACACCTGATCATTGTCTGTCTGGTTACTTGAGGATGTGGGAACTGTTTCCTGTTGCTGCTGTTGCTGGGGCTGCTGTTGGGCAACCGTTGCAACAGCAGCTGTCGCCGTACCACCAGGCATGAAAATGAGCTGAGGGGTGAGAGGTGCCCTGAGAGAGCGGTTTACCTGTGAGTGGTCAGACCAGTAAAATTACAACCTCAGGAAAAGAGTGAGCTTGGATAAACATTACATTAACAATCACCAGGTGAACAGTTTTATACTGTTGTACAGTGTTATTACATTAGGCCTTGGTCTGGATTTAAGTGCACTCTGACAATACACTTACTCTCAAGTACATCTGACCCTGTCCCCCCGAGTTTCCACCCAACAAAACTGACTGACTAAGGGCTGTTGATGTTGCAGAGGTGGCAGGTCCCACTGGACGGGGGTTTGTCATGATCCCTCCACCAGAGGTGGTACTTAAGTTGACCTAAAAAAAACACACCATAGATCAGCTCTATTCAATAAAACGTTCCAAAATGATCGTCAAACAAGCATAAGCACATTTTCACAAACAAAGAACTGAGCATAGTTGTAATTTCCATTAGCCATGTCACACATTTAATAGATTCAAAACAACTCACTGTGCATTGCGCTGAACTTGTAGTTTGAGAGACACTGTTACTGGGAGAGCTGGACTGACGACTGGCTGCAAGAGTTGCCTGAAAGTATAAAAAGGAAATATCTCAGGGTGAAATACTGAAAAAAGTAATTTGAAGAATAACACTACAGATGGTACACTTTTTGGTGTAAAATAACATTTATGAAAAAATACATTTTATTGAATGTTTTTAATAATAATAATAATAATAATAGTAATTATGGTAAATACATTATATTAATAGAAATATAACAATTATTAGCAATTATTTTTGTGGATTTTTTCAGTATTCTTTGATCATTATAAAGTTCAAAAGAACAGCATTTATTTAAAATAGGAATCTTTTGTAACATAATAAATGTATTTACTGTCACATTTGATCAATTATGTCCTTGCTGGAAAATAAATAAATAAATAAATATATATATATATATATATATATATATATATATATATAAAAAACAGTAGTGTACTTAATTTATCCAACCAGGTAAAAATGATGAATCCTCTAATTAAAACAGCAGGGCTGAGATTTTCCAAAGCTGATATGATTTTTTTTCCCTCATCCACCGGGGATAATATCACTAATCTTTTTTTTTGTGTGTGTGGATTTTGCTTGATATGATTTACTGACTGAGTCTGACCTGTTGCACAGCAGCCAGGTTATGGAGTTGAGCGCTGTTGATCTGCTGCTGCAGCATCAGTTGCTGGAAGTACTGAGCTGCATTGGGCTGCCTCTGTAATGCTTGCAGTGCCTGGAAACATATTTAATAATACAGACAAATACATTTCACACATTTCAAGTCACACAGAGGCATTGACCTGAATAAGTGATTTAAATTGCACTTCAGTTGGGCTGTTAGTGGAGTTTGCAGTGGCTTTGTGACCCACCTGCACGGCTTGCCTTTCATACAGAGACATTTGAGCTATCTGAGGGGGGCGGGAGTTTCCCCCTGATGCTGCGCTGCTATTGGCTGAGCTGGAGTTGGTCTGGTCTTCTCCTGCCTCCATGCTCACTGGATGGACGACCAGTCAATCAAACTTTGTAATAGAATACCAGAGGAAAATATGCATAAACAAACGAATTAGAAGAGGTTTTATGCTTACCTGTTCCATAAAATATGAATTAAAACAGCTAATTGTAATCAAAACAATGCAGTAGTCGAACAGGCACACTTGTTAACTTGTTAGAGCACTCAAGTCTGTTCAAATCTTTTGATTGAATATCTTTAAAATAACCAAAACAATGTTACTTAGTTTTAATGTATATAACATTAGAAATGAATATATAAAGGTTAATGTTATCTGTCATCTGCGGGTGATGAATGATCGGGGTTCTGCTGCATTAGTTCTGTGCAATATTCACGTTTCAGCAAGTTGCGAAGCATACTAGACAAAATAACACCATGCACAATTATTTATTTTCATATGTGTTCGAGCAGAAGCAATGCATTGGGTGGAAACAGACACCATGTCCACCCCCAGTATCTCATCCGCTGCTGCAAAAATGTTGGCGAACTGGCGACTCCCAAAGTGTCAGACAGCCAGAATTTTACCTCTCTGCGATCGGCACTGATTTTCAACCACCAGGAAACGTTGAGTCCACGGTGCTTATGATATCGATATAATATAGTTCCAGTGTCTATTTTATGCTTTTGCAAGTATTGTTGGAATTCCTCAAACAACGGCGATTGTGATGAGGCTCAAAAAAAACGATGAAACCCCGCTCCGCTCCGCCCCCCCCCCCCCAATGTTTACTATACTGTTTCCGGCGCCAAAAATGACGTAGCAGATAGAAGTCTGCAGCGGCGTCATATAATTACACAATAAAAGTCCGTCCGTCTGTCTGTCTGTCTATCTCTGTCTGCCTGTCTGTACAATAAATAAATAAATAAATACATACCTGCAATACATACGCTAACAAAAATTGATTTAAAAAAAATCCAGCGGAAAACATGAACGCCAAGCTCTTGAATTTGAAATCAAACATTTTGATTTCTTAAATAACAAGTAAAAATATTATGCATTTATGTCAAAAATAAACACATTAAAATAAAACAAATCAAATGGTGAGCCATTAAGTAAAAAGCTAATTAAAACACTTTCACTTTCTTTCATTTAAGCATACACATATCATTACACAATTTTCAAAAAAATATTTTAAACAAATATTTAATACAAATTTAATTCATATTTTAAAACATATGAATAATTATATTCATAATTAATCTATTCAACTATTCCAATTAATTTAATTTTAAAAACATTTATTCCAGAAATTGGAAACATGTTCATCTTTAAAGAGATTTATGTAAGTCATTGTTGAATGACTCACACTGACATTTAATAATTTACCAAAAATAAAAACATGATATGAACACACATGTAATCAGGTGGAAAGAAAATGACTGATAAATGTGACAGATAAAGGGCTCATTTGCAATCTGGGCTGACCTGTTATTCAGCTGATGTCTAAACTGATGAAGTCTTGTTATGATTTGACTTCTAGAATCAGATGAAAACTTCAGTAAGTATATATTTTCTCCACTATTTTAGAGTAGACACTTATTATATATGTTATGTATACGAAATATTAGTACTGACAGGACAAAACTAATTATGTGATACACAAAATATACACAAATGCTATAAAGACATAATTATATAAAAAAAAATTAGATTATCATTATTATCATGATGTGCTAAACAAAAGTGAATTGCTATTATTTTAAAAGAAGAGATAAAATCCTTTGACTAACAAAGCATATAGAGGTCACATGACAGGGTGAGACATGAAAAATTTCAGGTGCCATAATTTAGATAAGATAATGGTTCAGTCCTCTGACATGTTAGTTTATCCTAACATCATATAATCAAGTTGATCTCTCCATTATAATGAATTAAAGAAATATTTAATTCAATCTTGTAAAAAAAAAAAACATATTATTTTTATCTTATCATTGGTCCTGATGGACTTTTAACTAAAACTAAAATGGTTGACTAAAATCGTGTATGATAATTAATTAAAAACATAATATTAAATTGTATTTCAAAGGTGGAATTTTTGTTTAAATATTGCATTGATGTACTGTAAATTATTAAATTGAAATATTAAATAGAATTTTAAAAAGGGCTGAGGTGGAAAAATATGTTTTGTTGGAGGTTTTACATGACTAATGGTGTGAGGTATCGAAGTAAATATAACATTGTTTTTTATTTGTATTTTATTTTATTCATTCATTTTTGTTACATTAATTTCCCTAATGCTATTGTTTTATAGGTGTAAAGAATTTTAAAGATTAAAAACATGGAGTCTTCAAGATCCAGAGTGGGTGAATTGAAAGATGGGAGCTGGAAGACGAGAAATTGGTTGAATGGACAGAAGGTACGGGATGATGACGACTTACGAGCAGGAACTGAAAATAAGGATGGGGTATGGCTGGACTGGAAACACAGGTGGAAAGCATGAAAGAGGAACAGAAGAGCAAGGTACTGGGGACAGTTCAAAACGGGTATCATTCTAGGGGTTTGTTGCCTGAAAAAGCACAGCCTGGTTCCAGTGGAAGCACCAGCACCAGTGGTATATCGGTAAGTGACTACCTAGTACTGCTAAAGTCATTTCGAATTAACTTGCCCAATGGTGTCCTAAACCCTAAGGTCATCAGACTCTCGCAGAACGCAGGCATCATTCAGAAAGCCCAGGATATTGTAAAAGAACTGGAAAACGTTAAGCTTCAGTTTAACACCATTCCACGTCTTGGCTGCCGGGAACTAAAAAACTCACTGTCACTGAAAGACAATGGAAAAATTCTTTGAAAAAAGAGAAGATTCAGAAGAGCACAGTGGAGGAAGAATGTATTAAACACAAGCTGTTAATTCAGGTTCAGGGACAAATACCAGACAAAAGCCATCTCCACACCTGCTATGTATGCTACAACACAGTCAAGGAGCTGGAGACATTTAGAAGTTGGAGACAATCTTGCAAATATTTCTGCAGGTGTGACAGTGAATGTCCGACACATTGAGAGCAGAGACTATTGACGAGTCAGCTCTCTGGATAACATCTTCTCCACAAAGTTTTGGCAAATATTTCCAGAACCCAGGAGATGAAGGTGAATGCCTCAAGTTCTACCACGAGCTGCAAACTGGTACAAACAGGAGAGTGAGGTATACCAAAGGTAACAAAGTAGACTTTGGATTCCTCTTTGGAAGACTGGACTTCTTAGCAGAAGTAAAAGGGGAAAAAAGTGAAAAGTTTGTGATTGAGTGTAAAGGAACCACTGGAGATATGGTGGGAAAGTCTTCACTAAACCAAAAAATGGTGGTCGTCATGCACACCTAAATGAAACACATGAGTACTATTATCAAGTTCAGGCCTTCATGTACATCCTAAACAGGGCAGCAAAACAAACACAAGTCTTCACCTCTGACAGGGCCGTTATGGTGATCAGACACTACCACAAGAGTGGACGAGAACCCAGAGATTTCTACTGGAATTACCTGAGAAAGAATGAAGCAACACAGCAGAAAATCGATGAACTGCGTGTTTTCTGTGAAGAAGAGGTGCTGGGCTGTTTTCTGGCTGTTCTCAATCTGATTTTCCAGAAAGACACATAAAGTGAAGCTCTAGAACTTAAAAAGAACGTTTAGGAGTTATGTAACAGATTTTTATTATTACTATCATCATCATCATCATCATTATTATTTTAAATGTGATCTTAAGGACAGTGTGTTGAGTAGAAACAACTAGTTAATTCAGTTAATTAGAGAATTCAGTGTGTATGTGAAAACATGATGTTGCTAAAATAGAATATTATTAGAATAAGGAACTATAAAAATACATAGTTCTGGTTTTATTTCTCCATAGGTCAGTTGTTCACATACCAGTCAGAATTCATATTGTTTTAAATATGAAAAAATAGACAATACCATTCTGAAAAAAAGAATGTCCAAAATATTTTTTGTTGATTATTGGTGATATATAGGGTCAGGGTTCCAAATCTTTAAGCTATTATGATTCTAAGCAAATTGGACTTTTGATTTTCAAATAGAAGTGGGCAAAAAACACTCCATACTTACACTAAAGGAAGTGGACTCTTTTGACTTGGGCCAAAAAGCAACCTAAAAACCACCCCATGGAAACACAGGTGGAAAGCATGAAAGAGGAACAGAAGAGCAAGGTACTGGGGACAGTTCAAAACGGGTATCATTCTAGGGGTTTGTTGCCTGAAAAAGCACAGCCTGGTTCCAGTGGAAGCACCAGCACCAGTGGTATATCGGTAAGTGACTACCTAGTACTGCTAAAGTCATTTCGAATTAACTTGCCCAATGGTGTCCTAAACCCTAAGGTCATCAGACTCTCGCAGAACGCAGGCATCATTCAGAAAGCCCAGGATATTGTAAAAGAACTGGAAAACGTTAAGCTTCAGTTTAACACCATTCCACGTCTTGGCTGCCGGGAACTAAAAAACTCACTGTCACTGAAAGACAATGGAAAAATTCTTTGAAAAAAGAGAAGATTCAGAAGAGCACAGTGGAGGAAGAATGTATTAAACACAAGCTGTTAATTCAGGTTCAGGGACAAATACCAGACAAAAGCCATCTCCACACCTGCTATGTATGCTACAACACAGTCAAGGAGCTGGAGACATTTAGAAGTTGGAGACAATCTTGCAAATATTTCTGCAGGTGTGACAGTGAATGTCCGACACATTGAGAGCAGAGACTATTGACGAGTCAGCTCTCTGGATAACATCTTCTCCACAAAGGTTTGGCAAATATTTCCAGAACCCAGGAGATGAAGGTGAATGCCTCAAGTTCTACCACGAGCTGCAAACTGGTACAAACAGGAGAGTGAGGTATACCAAAGGTAACAAAGTAGACTTTGGATTCCTCTTTGGAAGACTGGACTTCTTAGCAGAAGTAAAAGGGGAAAAAAGTGAAAAGTTTGTGATTGAGTGTAAAGGAACCACTGGAGATATGGTGGGAAAGTCTTCACTAAACCAAAAAATGGTGGTCGTCATGCACACCTAAATGAAACACATGAGTACTATTATCAAGTTCAGGCCTTCATGTACATCCTAAACAGGGCAGCAAAACAAACACAAGTCTTCACCTCTGACAGGGCCGTTATGGTGATCAGACACTACCACAAGAGTGGACGAGAACCCAGAGATTTCTACTGGAATTACCTGAGAAAGAATGAAGCAACACAGCAGAAAATCGATGAACTGCGTGTTTTCTGTGAAGAAGAGGTGCTGGGCTGTTTTCTGGCTGTTCTCAATCTGATTTTCCAGAAAGACACATAAAGTGAAGCTCTAGAACTTAAAAAGAACGTTTAGGAGTTATGTAACAGATTTTTATTATTACTATCATCATCATCATCATCATTATTATTTTAAATGTGATCTTAAGGACAGTGTGTTGAGTAGAAACAACTAGTTAATTCAGTTAATTAGAGAATTCAGTGTGTATGTGAAAACATGATGTTGCTAAAATAGAATATTATTAGAATAAGGAACTATAAAAATACATAGTTCTGGTTTTATTTCTCCATAGGTCAGTTGTTCACATACCAGTCAGAATTCATATTGTTTTAAATATGAAAAAATAGACAATACCATTCTGAAAAAAAGAATGTCCAAAATATTTTTTGTTGATTATTGGTGATATATAGGGTCAGGGTTCCAAATCTTTAAGCTATTATGATTCTAAGCAAATTGGACTTTTGATTTTCAAA